ATTTGTGGGTACCGTCCCAATAGAACTTCTCTTGTTTTGAGGCAAACCATTCAGAGACCCAATTCCACTTCTTCGTGTGTTTTGAAGTGCTGCTCAGAAAGTGCGTGTGCCATTGATCGGAACAAGTGGTCATCTGAAGGAGCAAGGTCTGGTGAATACGGCAGGTGGGTTCATACTTCCCAGGCAAGATCTTTTAATGTGTCTTTAACTGGTTTGGAGGTGTGTGATGGTGCGTCATCATGAAGCAAAGTTACTTTGCCGTGTCTTCTGGCACATTTTGGTCATTTCACAATCAAAGTGTGGTTCAAATTGATTATTTGTTGCCGGTAGCAATCAGTATTAACGGTTTCACCTGGTTTTAGAAACTCATAATACACCAAACCTTCTTGATCCCGCCAAAAGCAGAGCATTGTCTTCTTTCTGAAGCGATTTGGCCTTGCAGTCGATGTTTTTGGTTGACCTGGATCAACCCATGATTTTGTGCCTTTGTGATTCTCAAAATAAATCCACTTTTCATCACAATTCGATGCAAAAAAGCCTTTCTTTCGTGCCGTTGAAGCAACATTTTACTGGTGATTTTTTGGTTTTCCATTTGTCTTTCCTTCAGTTGATGTGGCACCCATTTTCCTTCCTTTACAATCTTTCCCAGTGCTTGTAAACGATCAGAAATTGTTTGCTGAGCAATGTTTAATCTTTCTGCAAGTTGTTTTTGAGTTTGACATGCACCTTCATTCAATAATGCTTGTAATTGTTGGTCTTCAGACTTTTTCGGTTGACCTGGATGTTCTTTTGTCTTTCACATCGAAATCATCACTTTTAAAGCGTTTAAAGCAGCGTTCACAAGTATCTTGAGATGGAGCATGTTCACCATAAGCTTCCCGAAGTATATGATAGCTTTTTCTTCAAAGTAAAGTAATGAATTAAAACTTCCCGCAAATGCTCATTTTTTGGCACGAAATTCAACATTTTTAAGCGTAAAAATATCTATGATGTTGACACCTTCAGCAAATTTGACACGTGAAGTTTTGAAGCTTGCTGTCAATACAACAAAATAGCATACACATCAAATCGCATATATATCAACATATGTGTAACTCCATCTATTGAAAAAATGCGCATTATTAACCGGTACACCCGGTATGCTATCCTACATGCATAAGAACAGTGGTTCGGGCTTACTTCCTTTGCTAAGGGAGCAACAGGCCTGGGACCTGAAACCTGCCATGACCTACCCAGTTAGAAATTTGTGATCAGACCATCTTGTGTGGTTGCTTTTGGTCGCTAAGCTTATTAGGCCGGCAGTGTTAGGCTTGCCATGTAGCCCCTGAGCTTGTCAGGTTGACTGCAAAGCCCTTCGCATTCACACCGTTTCATTGCTTTATGGTTGACTTGAGTGAAAAACATAAAAGATTTGTGTAATTTCTGAAGAATTGCGATGAAGACAACTGCTGACAACCGAATTTTTCAGGTATTACAATGACAGCATGGCTCACAGCTGACTGCTCATCGGTGGTTTTTGTTGTTAATTTGTTTGGGTGTTTGTTTATTTTTGAGAAATGAAATAACTGAATCATTTGCTGGTGGGCTCAGTAGCCCATGGAGGGCAGACCCCAAAGCTATGTTTGTGACAGACAATCCAGCCAAACAGCGTACCCAGGAGAAAAAAGACTCAGTTTCGAGACCACCTGTGAGGTTTCTCTCCTTTCTCTTCTTTTCCCGCCCTTATTCAAGAAAATTGGCGGGTTGATTGGTCTCTGAAACCCTCATGGGCAATCTCAACAAGTGAGTCTCCATCACACAGTCCCTCATTTTATTTATTTACTAGAGGCCTGGTGCACGAATTCGTGCACGGGTGGGGTCCCTTGGCCTGGCCGGTGATCGGGCCAATTAGGGTGGTGGGAGGTTGGCCAGGGGAAGGGGCCACAGGAGGTTGGCTGCAGGGGGAGGGCTGTGGGAGTGACCATGAGGGGGCAGCTCCTGCACTGAGCATCTGCCCGCTGGTGGTCAGTGCACGTCATAGCGACTGGTCGACCAGTTGTTCTGATTGTTCAGTTGTAACAGTCATTTAGACTTTTATATATATACTAGAGGCCCGGTGCACAAAAATTTGTGCATTTGGGGGGTAGGGGGGGTCCCTCAGCCCAGCCTGTGCCCTCTTGCAGTCTGGGACCCCTTGGGAGATAACAACCTGCTGACTTAGGCCTGCTCCCGGGTGGCAGAGGGCAGGCCCAATCCCTAGGTGCAGCCCCTGGTCGGGCTCAGAGCAGAGCCGATTGGGGAGTTGGGGCGCCGCCCCCGTCATGCACAGAGCAGGGCGGATTGGGAGGTTGTGATGCCACCCTCAGTCATGCTCAGGGTAGGGCCAATTGGGGGGTTGGGGCACCACCCCCTGTCACACTCAAGGCAGGGTCAATGGGGAGGTTGCGGCGCCACCCCTTGTCACGCACAGAGCAGGGCCCATCAGGGGGTTGGGGAGCTCCCCCATGTCATGCACAGAGCAGGGCGGATCAGGGGGTTGGGGCACTGCCCTCTATCACCCACAGAGCAGGACCGATCAGGGGATTGGGGCGCCGCCACTGTCACACTCAGGGCAGGGCCGATGGGGAGGTTATGGCTCTACCCCATCACACACAGAGCAGGGCCCGTGGTGGGGGGGGAGGTTTGGGGTGCTGCACCCTGTCACACACAGAGCCGCAGGGCAATCAGGGGGTTGGGGAGCGCTCCCCTATCAGGCACAGAGCAGAGCTGATCAGGGGGTTGGGGCGCCTTCCCCTGTCACGAACAGAGCAGGGCGGATAGGGAGGTTGTGGCCCTGCCCCATGTCACACACAGAGCCGCAGGGCGATCAGGGGGTTTGGGCGCTGCCCCCTGTCATGCTGATCCTGGTGCTGGGAGGCCTCGCGGCTCTGCTGATCCCGGTGCTGGGAGGCATATTACCCTTTAACTATATAGATAGAGGCCTGGTGCACGGGTGGGGGCCGACTGTTTTGCCCTGAAGGGTGTCCTAGATCAGGGTGGGGGTCCCCACTGGGGTGCCTGGCCAGTCTGGGTGAGGGGATGATGGCTGTTTGCAGCTGGTCACACATCCTTCAGGGTGGGGGTCCCCACTGGGGTGCCTGGCCAGCCTGGGTGAGGGGATGATGGCTGTTTGCAGCTGGTCACACACCCTTCAGGGTGGGGGTCCCCACTGCGGTGCCTGGCCAGTCTGGGTGAGGGACTGAGGGCTGTTTTCAGGCTGGCGGGTGACTGAAGCTCCCAACTGCTCCTTTTTTTCTTTTTCTTTTTCATTCTGGGCCAGCTTTAGCTCTGGCTCCAGCTCTGAGGCCTCTGCTGCTGAAAGCAGGTATCTGGTTTGTTTGGGTTCTATAATCGAAACACTGTATCAACTCCAGCTCTGAGATCCTAGCTGGCTGAAAGCAGGTTTCTGGGGTTTTGTTTAGCTTCTATATTTGTAACAATGTTTCAAACTGCAAGCTCAGAGGCCAGTAAGGCAGGCGGGGAACGTTGGAGTCCTCCGTCACTGAAGCAAGCAAGCCTCATGTTCGCTTCAAGCTGCCTGGCTGCCGGCTGCCATCTTGGCTGGCAGTTAATTTGCATATCACCCTGATTAGCCAATGGGAAGGGTAGCGGATATATGCTAATTACCATGTTTCTCTTTTATTAGATAGGATAGATTTTTAGAGTTTTCTTTTCTTTTTTTAATATACTTTTATTGATTTCAGAAAGGAAGGGAGAGGGAGAGAAAGAAACATTATGATGAGAGGGATACATGGATTGGTTGCCTCCTGCATATACCCCATCAGGGACCTGGATGGAGCCTGCAACCGAGGTTCATACCCTTGACCAGAATTGAACCTGGGGCCCTTCAGTCCTCAGGCCAATGCTCTATCCACTGAGCACAGCCCTTCGTTTTAAATGGCTGCTGTAATTACTCGGACTGGCTGTTTCTGGCTAAACATAAAAGGACCTTTTAAAGTCATCTGGGGTTTCCCAGAAGGTGCTGTGGACAGCTACCCAAGTGTATGTTTCTGAGCTTCTTCAGTTTAATTTTTTCCCTCCGACCCCCGTTTTATTTCGTAAAGGCTCCCCTGCACCACCTCCTTGGGCTATTGCTCTTGGTTTAAAATTCCTTACGAAAAGTTTTCCTGAGGCTGCTGGGGACATTATCAACACTGAAAACAGACAACCTAACTGACCTCTCGCTGACGTTATGTGGCGCAGCGGTCTAAGGTGCTGGTCAAGGCTTCAGGCTCTTTGTGGGTGTGGGTTGGAGTGCCGCCAAGCTTTTGCAGCTTCCACCCTCTAAGCATTTTTTCCTATGGGTCACAAAAGAAGGGTTATACGAAAGGGAACCCCCGCGGGAAGTGCCGCCCTTATCCGTGCAGAACCCGGTGTGGGGCCAGCGGCTGCGGAGTGGCCGGGCTGTGTGCGGCCTCCTGCGAGGGGTGCTCTGGGCCGAAAGCGAGGTGCTCAAGGTCCTTCCGGGGGCAGGTGGCCGAAGCGGGATCTCTCTGGATTCCGTCTGTCTCTGTAACGAGGTGGAGATGATGACGTGATGTCCTGCATTGTCTCCGAGGGTTCCAAATGGAATGCAACACAAGAAATTTTAAATGGCCGGGGAGGAAAATAAAGCTCTAGCAAGCGCTGTTTCCGCCCGGTTTCGAACCGGGGACCTTTCGCGTGTTAGGCGAACGTGATAACCACTACACTACGGAAACTTGAAAGGGCGGCCTCCCAGTTCCCCTATTCACTGCAACAACCTACTCCGACACGGCGTTCCTGCAACCTCATAGGCGCCAAGGACCGCCCGGCAATGCACTGAGCCCCGAGCAGGAGGTCCTGCACGCAGCCTCTCGCGGCTCCTGCAGATCCCAGGCGGCTCCCCATTCCCCCACGTGCTCTCCCTCCCGAGACCCCGCTCTCCCGGAGCTCGGCGATTCCCGCTGTCGGTCTGGAACCCAAACAGGCCACGTAACAAATTTTATTTTGTAAAAAGCATAAAACTGGGCTCGTCCGGGATTTGAACCCGGGACCTCTCGCACCCAAAGCGAGAATCATACCCCTAGACCAACGAGCCAGCTGCTGCTCACACTTGCCGCTCAGTCCTTAGTCTGATTCTGTGTGGCGTCATTGCATCACCAGGAAACGTGTTCATTTCTGGCTTATCCGGAACCGCTGGGGTTTCGGAGCCTCCCACGCTCGCCGCATCCCTTCCAGCCGTGTCCGCGTCCACGGTGAACTCTCAGCGGCCCGGCTCGCGCTGTACAAACGCCGCGTCCCGCTCGGCCCCCTGAGATGTCCTGGAATCCGTATTGCTATAGCCACTCAGGCAATAGGGAAGGCCATCCTTTCGCTTTGGGGGACTGGGGGCCCTCTCCCAAGGGAGCCCCAATAAGGTGCAAGTCTGGAGGCCCAGGGGCGGGCGCAGAGGCCGAGAGAGCCGGAGGTCTCCTGGAGAGAACCGGGCGCCGGGCTCGCAGGGGACGCGGGGGCACTGGGTCATCAGCCGCGACGGGAGAAATGAAACCGGGGTCGTCTCTTCGTGTGGGCTGCCTGGTATGGTTTTATGAAAATATTTTAAAAACAACACATAGTTATTTGCCACACATTCAGGAAATGTAGGGGAGTGTAAGGCAGACATGGGGTGGCCGGGAACCTCGCTCCCCACGGCTGGCACCAGCGCGCGCGCACCCGCGGCGCCCAGGCGGGTGCCCGGCGCTCGGCCCTCCCGGGACCGCCCGGGACGGAGCCGCCACCCTTCCCCGGAGAACCAGAGGCCGGGCGGCGCCCCCTCACCACTCCTCTCGGACCTGCTCTTCCCAAAGGACTTGAACCCGACTGGTTGTTCAGGAGTAAAAGTGATTCCGATTCCCTGCAGCAGATTTCATAAAATTCACGCCAAGCTGGCCGGCCAAACGTTTATTTTTGTGCCACCAGCTGGCTGGTACAAGTGCGGGAGACGCGAGGTGGCTGACCTGCTCCAGGGAAAAGGTGCTGACTTTTCCCATTGCCATGTCGGCGCTCTGGCTCGGCGCGGGAGCGACCGCAGCTCGCGGCTCCCTCGCGGCCTCTGCAAGGACCTAGGCGCCCGCGCCCCTCCGCCCGCCCCCTCCGCGCCCGCGCCCCTCCGCCCGCCCCCTCCGCGCCCCCCCGCCCGCCCCTCCGCGCCCGCGCCCCTCCGCGCCCGCCCCCTCCGCGCCCGCGCCCCTCCGCGCCCGCCCCCTCCGCGCCCGCGCCCCTCCGCCCGCCCCCCTCCGCGCCCGCGCCCCTCCGCGCCCGCCCCCTCCGCGCCCGCCCCCCTCCGCGCCCGCCCCCCTCCGCCCGCGCCCCTCCGCGCCCGCCCCCCTCCGCCCGCCCCCTCCGCGCCCGCCCCCTCCGCCCGCCCCCTCCGCGCCCGCGCCCCTCCGCTCGGGATAAGAGCTGGCGGGCGCTCCTCCGCTCGGCGACCGAGGCCTCCGGGTCAGATCGCCCCCGTGACGGCCGCATCTGCCTGTCTTCTCTGGAATGACTTAAACCCACGTCCACCCGGTCACAGCGGACCCGAAGTCTATAAATTTGTCACAGTCGCTCCCCGTCTTTTTTTTTTTTTTTTTAACCATTCAGGTTTGTCCTTTAAACAAACCAAAACCCTTCACAGCTAATACATGCTGGCCTTCTGACGCTGATTTGTTAGTTTGCGCTGTTAACGAAGTCAAGGTACAAAGGAGCCTAAATCCCCAGCGAGCCGTGGAAGGGGCGCTGGGGGTCTCGGGCGCACCTCCCGCCGCCGAGGCGGGCGCGACCCGCGGGGGAGGCCTCGGCAGAGGCAGAGGCGACCCGTCCCGCTGCACCCGCCCCCCCCCCCCAGCCGCAGGAGCCCCGATCCCCACACCCCCCGAGCCAGCGTGGACCCTCCGGAAGGCCCTGGGCCGGTCGCAGCCCCGCGCGGGACGCCGCTGACTCCCGGCTGCACTTAGCGCCGCTGCGGGTTAGGAAACGGAAGCTGGGCCCTGCGGGGGGGGCGGTGCGTGAGGCCACCGGTCAGCGTTTCTCTCTCTCTCTCTCTCTCTCTCTCTCTCTCTCTCTCTCTCTCTCTCTCTCTCTCTCTCTCTCTCTCCCCCCTTCCCTCCCTTCCCTCCCTCCGCCTTCCTCTCTCTTTAAAATCAACAAAAATACAACTAATATATGCTGACCTTCTGCATACAGTGGGGCCTTGACTCACAAGTGTCCCGACTAACGAGATTTTTTGAGATACCAGCTGTCTCTCGGCTGATTTTTTGCATTGAGTTGATAGTAATTTGAGTTAACGAGCTACTTAACGAGCTCAGTCTCCGAATGAATCAAACTCGTAAGTCAAGGCCCCACTGTATATGTTGATTTAATATCCTCAGGAGAGGATTTTTAAAAGAAAAAGAAGATAAGAAAAGAAAGAAAGAAAGAAAGAAAGAAAGAAAGAAAGAAAGAAAGAAAGAAAGAAGAAAGAAAGAAAGAAAGAGAAAGAAGAGAAAGAAAGAATAGAGAGAGAGAGAAGGAAGGAAGGGAAGGCAGGAAAGGGACAGGCAGGAAGGCAGGAAGGGAAGGAAGGAAGGAAGGAGTAAGACGTAAGAAGGGAGGAAGGAAGAAAGGGAGAAGGGAGAAGAAGAAGAAGAAAGAAAGAAAGAACGAACGAACGAAAGAAAGAAAAACAGAAAGCGAAAGAACGAGAAAGAACCCAGAAGCTGGCGGGTGCACCGGAGGAGAGAACCGCTGGCGGAAACCTGGGGAGGCGCCGGAGGAGGCCGTGAATGGGGCAGGCGGGGTGCGTGGAGAGGGAGTGGGGCAGGCGGGTGCTGTGGAGAGTGAGTGGGGCAAGGCGGGGTGCGTGGAGAGTGAGTGGGGGGGCAGGCCGGGGTGCGTGGAGAGTGAGTGGGGCAGGCGGGGTGCGTGGGAGAGTGAGTGGGCGGCGGGGTGCGTGGAGAGTGAGTGGGGCAGGCGGGGCGTAGGAGAGTGGGTGGGGCAGGCGGGGTGCGTGGAGAGTGAAGGGGGGCAGGGGCGGCGGGGTGCGTGGAGAGTGAGTGGGGCAGGCGGGGTGCGTGGAGAGTGAGTGGGGCAGGCGGGGTGCGTGGAGAGTGAATGGGGCAGGCGGGGTGCGTGGAGAGTGAGTGGGGCAGGCGGGGTGCGTGGAGAGTGAGTGGGGCAGGCGGGGTGCGTGGAGAGGGGCACCGCTCGCCCCGGACTTCGGCCCCGGGATTGGTTGGCCCCACGCGCCTGCCGCCCCGCAAGGCCGGGTCCTGCAGAAGCCACGTGGCGAGGCCAGGGGCGAGTTTTGCGGGAATGCTCAGTCGCCCTCCCAACAAAAACAGGAGGTTCCCCGGGGACGGGAGGGGCGCCGACAGGTGGTCTCCGGCAACAGAGATGAAAGGGTGAGAGCCCTTGCCTCCCCCCGACCCCCGGGGTACGGAGCGACTCGCCACGAGCTCGCCGGTAGCGCGCGCAGGAGGGAGCGAGAAAGGGGCCGCGGGGCACCGTGACCGCAAGGCCGACGCCAAGTGTGGCTGCAAGAGGTGTGCGGCCCCAGGGAGGGCCGGGGGCTGACACCGGCGGGGCCCAGACCTGGGAACTTCACCGGGGCAGCCTCCCAACCCAGAAAAGCGGGCACCTTACGCGTTGCCACCTGTCGGTTATAAAAAGGGGAAGAAACCCGAGTCAGGCCCCAGCGAGATTTGAACTCGCGACCCCTGGTTTACAAGACCAGTGCTCTAACCCCTGAGCTATAGGGCCCGCTGCGTGGCTGTTCTCTGCCTGCGACTGGTTGATGCCGCAGCTCCTCCGCGCAGCCGCAGACAATTCCGACGGAGAAACCCAGCGGCGGGAGGTGGGGCCGCGTCCCCAGGGCCCCGCTGGGCCGAGCAGCTGAGCCTGCGGCGTCGGCCGGTGTTGGGGCCGCGGGCGGGGCTGCAAATCCTGGGACAGCCGCCCGCAGAGGCCCGAGGTTCGGGCGCCCGCGGAGCCGGTGGGGCGGGGCCTCCGGTCGGCGGGGCTGTGAGGAGGTCCCAGGTCTTCCACGCTTCTGCGGCTTCTGCGGGGTCAGGGCCCAGGACCCTTGGAGGGCAGGGCTGTGCGGCTTAGTGTGCGCGAGGATCCGGTGCTGGGTCAGGGCTGCGGGGAAGGATGTTAATAGGTCTGTCCTGGGGGGAATCGAGGTCGGGGCTGGTAAGGTAGGCGGGCACGTGAGGGAGCAGCGGAGTGGGGGTGGGGGTGGGGGTGGGGGTGGAGGTGGGATCAGGAAGGAGTCAGAAGCTGATAGTGGAGAAATCAGAATGGCTGAGTGTAAGGAAGGGGGTGGACCAAGGTCTAAGGCAGGGCCCGGGCCCAGAGCCCCTAGGGCACCTTTAGGAAGAGACCACCCTTAGGGCCCCGTTGGATTCTTGGGGAGCAGGTCCGGTCAGAGCCCCCAAAAGGGCACACGGAGTTGAGGGCAGGGGAGGGTGAGAGCCCAGGTCAGGGACAGGAGCCCTCGCCGGGCAATAGCCAGAAGGTGGCGGCTGCAGGTAGATGGTGGACGTTGGCCTGGTTGTCCAACCTGCCCTCTGCCCTGCAAGGCCGGATGACTGAGGTCACTGGACGGCCAGGCCAAAAGCAGGCCCCAGGTGACCTCCAGTCCGTGAAGAGCTGTGTGTCTGGTGGCAAGGACCTGGGTCCTCACAGCTCTGAGCTCGCAAGGACCTGGGGCTGAGAGTTGGAGCAGAAGAGCCCAAGTTAGGCCCACAGAGGCTCAGAAGTCTGAGATCTTTTTTTTTTTTTTTTTTTTTTTTAGAAGTCTGAGATCTTAGGATGCCCCAAGGATGGAAGAGAAAAATGCACACACACTCTCACGCCAGCACCGTGACTTCCGGTCACCCGCTGCCCTGGTGACCAAGAGAGAACATCTCTCGCGCCCCCCACGTGCAGTTATTATGTGTAACTGTTGTTAACATCTCTTCAGATGCATAGAAATCTATGCAGTTATTCTATAAACTCTGATAGACACACGAACACAAAAGCTGAGGATACACACAGACAGCCACCCCTGCAGTCCCCAGACCTGGCCCTTCAGGACCTCCACCAGTCACCCCATCTCCTGTGACCTGCAACCTGTGTTACAATACTTCAGCATAGTTGCTAGACGACATAAAGGGTAATTGCGACACTCAGTTCAAAAGCCACGGGTTTTCCTTGTGGAAATCAGTGATATTCAAATACGCTGGTTGGCTACGGTGTTCTAGAGCTGCACTCCGCGTATGAAGAGGGCATCGGATTCCCCTTCTGGAATGCTGCTGTTGGCTAGACTCTTCAACGGTCCTGTCCCTGCCTGTGGGACACTGGATTCTGACTGCCTATTGCTGTGAGCACTGGGTCGGCCTCTCAAACCACAGTGTGCTTGAAGCATCTCAAGGGACAGAGTACAGGAGCTCCACGACGCCTGCAGACCAGCTACTGACGGTCACCGTCCCTGCATCTGCCTGAACCACCTGGGTAGGCAGAACTAGGTCAGCAACTGGCTTCCATCCAGCCGGGGATCTGGTGGGGTTGGAAACCTGTGGCCATCAACTACATACGGGGGTGGCTGATATTTAACCAGAAGTCAATAATAGGGTCTGACCTGATTGACCTCGGTCGGTTTCAACACCTACACCCTATGCACGTGTTCATACCCACTGTCCTGCAATCCGATATAAACACCCGCGCAGTTCTCACACCGCACACACGCGCACCTCATCTGGCAGAGATCCTTGCTCACACGTGTGCTCTTGCACTCAGGCAGGGTAAGTCAAGAATGAGCTAAGCCACTGTAGAAACGAACTCATAGTCTGTATTTCCATCTCTAGTCCCCATTCCTGGGGAGCACAACGCAAGGAACAGCCCCCACCACCCTCCCAGAAGCCCAGCCTTACAGCAGCTGGGGAGCAATGAGCTCGGGTGATAGCAGCCACCAGGGTCCTCTGCTGGTGGCACACGTTCGGCAAGTTCCAGAAAGAATCTGCCAGGGGCATGCTTCTGCTCTGCATTTCCATGCTGGTGCTAGCGGCACCTGCAAAACTGTAAGTGCTCTCCGGTATTTCAAAATTCCAGAACCTTCTGTCTCCTTACCCAGGGAGACTGCACTTTGGCACCTGAGAGGGGTTTAGGCAGCTGTGAGAACACGTGGCCACGGATCATCAGGTTCTGGGTGTCAGAGGGTAGCCATGCCTACAGTGCTGTCTGGGGCTTTTCCCTCGCGTACGGGTCAAGGCTCTGCTTCCAGTTCTGGCCCAGACAGTCCTCTGAGCTGGGAGCACAGTGCTCCTCCCTGAGTAGACGGTTTGGTGAGCCAGCTGGACTCAGGTCCCTGAAGGCAGCTGGCAGCTGACAAGAAGGCAAAACAGAAGTGATCATGAACCTGGCCAGCCTGGCCCCAAATATGCCCCTTGCAACTGAGGCCGACAAGGCCCAGGGCTTGGTGTTGCTCCAGGGAGCCAGAGGCGCTGCTGAGTCTGAGCAGTGAGCCCCCGAACAGGAAGCAGCTCTGTCCACAGCTGGGCTCCTGTCCTCGCCCCCGAGCAGCTGGTACCAAAGCCACATGCCAGGAAGGGGACAGGCCCCGGGGGCCAAGGCCTTCCTGCCTCTGCTGCTTGGGCTCCCGAAGCCTGTCTAAAGCAGCTGGGGGCAGGAAGGGTGAAGTAGGCAGGAAGCCCGGCCGGAGCTTCCGTCCCTTCCCAGGGGCAGCCAGGAGAAGGCTGCACCCTGGACTGGCCCCTCCCTCTGGGGGGCCGGGCAGTGTCTCTCAAGGCCAGATGCGCAGGTAGGTGCCTGTGGAGCAGATGGAGAAAAGGGGGAACACACGCTCCTGGAAGTTGACACGGAAGGTGTAGAGGTGGCGCATGTCCTCCACAGCATAGAAGGACACGGCCCCCACCTCCAGGTCCAGCGCCACCCGCACGCGGGACAGGTGGCCGCAGCTGAGGGGTGTCCGCTCGGGGCTGGTCACGGCCCAGTACTGCCCACCGTTGAGCTGCAGCGCCCAGACGCCCTCCTCGGGCGTGAAGGGCGTGAGGCCCTTGCGGCGCACACTCTCGCGGGCCACTCCGAAGGCCCAGCCGTCCTGGGAGCCCACCTCCACCTCCCAGTGGTGCCGCCCGGAGGAGAAGCCGCAGGAGGCCAGGACGCGCGTGTTGGTGTCAAAGCGACGCGGGTGGTTGGGCAGGTCCTGGGCCCGCTGTCCGAGGCGCACGCTCTTAAGATCCAGCGAGAGGATGAGGCGGGGGTTGGCCGTGTCCGGGTCCAAGGTCAGCTCCACTGCAGTGGGGAGTCAGGGAGAGATGGCCCTTGCAGGCCTCTTGCACAGCCCCTGCCCCCTTCCTGCCCACCCCCACACCTACCCCTACCCCTCCAACAAGTACATCTGAAATCAAACTGTACAACTTAGATACTGGAAAGAATCAACTTTTCTAATTATGATGATGGTTTTTCGGTTGTTTTTTTTATCTCTTTAGCCCTGGCCGCTGTGACTCAGTTGGTTGAGCGTCCCATGCACCAAGAGGTCCCCGATCAGGGCACATGCCCGGGTTGCAGGCCCCTCCAGGAGGCAGCCGATGGAAATGTTACTCTCCCCTGCCCCCCCACCTTCCTCTCTCTCTCAAATCAATATACACATATATGTATTTTTAAAAGTCTCTAACCAGTTTGAAAGAGCCCTAACCAGTTTGGCTCAGTGGATAGAGCATTGGACTGAGGGTCCCGGGTTCGATTCCAGTCAAGGACATGTACTTTGGTTGTGGGCACATCCCCAGTAGGAGGTGTGCAGGAGGCAGCTGATCAATGTTTCTAACTCTCTATCCCTCTCCCTTCTTCTCTGTAAAAAATCAATACAATATATATATAATTTTAAAAGTCTCTCTTTAGAGATCAAATACTGAAATATTTATGGAAATGATATTATCTGTGATTTGCTTCAAAATAGTCCAGTGGTAAGAAGTCAGCAGGGGTGTTAGTGGTAATTGCTGAGGGTGTATGGTGAGCGTGTCATATTCGTTACGCTTCTCTCTCTACTTGAGCACGTGTCTGAAATTTTCCACAAGGAAAAGCTCAAGCCCGGCCGGCGGGGCTCCGTGGCTAAGCATCGACCTTGAACCAGGTCACAGTTCGATTCCCGGTCAGGGCACAGGCCCGGGGTTGAGAGCTCGATTCCCAGTGTGAGGTGTGCAGGAGGCAGCTGATCAATGATCCTCTCTCATCATGGATGTTTCTATCTCTCCCTCTCCCTTCCTCTCTGAAATTATATATGTATATGTGTGTGTGTGTGTGTGTGTGTGTGTGTGTGTATGTATGTGTAAACCTCCAAAAGCTCAAATATGCACACTTTTCAGTGTTCCAGGCCTCCTATGTGCAGGCCCTTGGAATCCCAGCCCTCCTGCAGCTTCCTTTCTTAGGGGAGGGGAGGAGAGACAATAAATGATTTAAAAAATATAGAAGAGGGATCAGGACAGCAACTGTGATTTCAACTAGAGGGGCCAAGGACGGCCTCACTGAAAAGGTACATTTAGGCGAACACACGGAGAAGGTGAAGAAACCAGACAGGCGGCCGTCTGGTGCAGCAGGGCCCAGCCCAGGGAAGTGTGTGCGGGTGCATTCCAGCCCCCAGCGGGATCAGGGGTGCACCCGGGGAGAGCGTGCAGCGCGGCCCGAGGGTGGCTGGAGAACTGCAGCCTTTGCTGAGAGGGGCCTGTGCAGGGCTCTGTGCACAGAAGGGGCATAGTCTGACTCAGCTGGTTTAGATTCTTTCCAGGCTTGGCCCCCGCTCCCCTCCCTGTGGGGTTGGGTCCCACTCACCCAGAATTCCGCAGGAGTAAGAACCACCTGCCTTGTCCTCCGTTTCTTCCTGCTTCCCCTCACCCCTGCACACAACTCCGGTCCCCAGGAGAGGTCTCAGTAAGTTTGGGAGTGGGGACAGGGGAGAGGGGGGCTTGTGTAGGTGCCTGACAAGCCTTCCCCAAGCTAAGCATCCTGAGGGGCAGGCACTCCTGCTCCGGGCCACAGCCTACAGGCCCCGTGGCCTGCGGGAGCGGGTGCTGTGAGGTATGGGCAGGGAAGGGGAGTAGAAGGCAGGCACGGAGGCGGGTGGTGGGCGGGCAGAGGGAACCACCCACACACAGAGCCCAGAGAGACAGTTGCCCACCCGCAGGGAGGGAATTCCCCACGAGGCAGGTAACAGGCACTCACTGCCCCACAGCTACGTACCCTTTTCCTCTTTCTCCAGCTCTCCACGAAGGTCCTCTGAGGAGAAACCAAGCAGGTGTGTGTGAATGACACCGAGACTGTCTGACGACAGTGACTGCACCTCCGACACAGGTGGCCCCGCTGGCTCACTTACTCCCAGGCAGGCCCAAGGCACCGGGCCAGCGCAAGTGCGGGAGAGGCAGGATTCTGGCTTTTCCTGTCCAGCTTCCCCTCTTTTGCCCGGAGCTGGTCAGAGCTGGGATCTCCCTCCCCATCCTCGTCCGCCCCCAATTCCCCTCTATCCTGTCGGTCCCCGGGGGGAGCTCTGCGCCGAGGGGGCCTGAGTAAACTCGTCACCACATACCCCAGCTCTGCTGTCCTCACACAGCTTCGGGAAAGGCACATCTCTGGGCCCCAAACCTCTAAAACCACACCCCTGCCCCTGGCACCTCACGGCCCAGCCCCACACCTGGGCCTACCTTTGAACTTCTTGAGCAGCCCCTTTAAGACAAAGGTCTTGAGGGAAACGTTCCAGACTTTATTCTTCATCTCAGAAGAGACTGTGCTTGGCTTGGGGGCCGGCACGTTGCTGCACCTGCAGGACAAGGAGGAAGGCCCACAAGCACTGTCCCACTCCCACCATCAGGACGGCGAGGCCCCCTGGGCGGGGAGACGCAGAAAAAGGCGAGCCTGGTCTCATGCCCATACCCACACCGGGCACAGGGACTTCTGCCTCAGAAGGTACCAGATGAGGCGGTGGGGCCATCGGAGGTGAGGGGCTGGGGGTGGGGAAGAAAGAGGCTACGCCGTGGGAAAGAACCGGCTAAGAGGGGCCCGAGGAACCATTAGGTCCACTCACCTGCTTAGTGTGTTTTTAAATTCCTGGAAAGAAAGATGAAAGAAAACAAAATCAACATCAGGTAACCCCCATTCACCTCTGAAAAAACAAAACTGCCCCTGCCCTGCCTCCAGAGGAAGAGGCAGTAAGCAGGGTTACCACCCCCACCACGGGCCTGGGTGCCAAGGGCTCCCCCGTGCCTGGAGCTGGGCATCTCGTCAACGTGGTGGGTGCTCTGGCCCTGCGCACAGCTCTGAAATGCTCCGTCCTTACAGAATCCTCCCTGGAGCCAAGTGCTGGGCCCAGCGAGGCCTCGGCTCTCACGCCACCAAGACGAGCGAGAGCCTTTACGCAGCGACTGCTCCTTCAGACCAGTCTTCAAAATGACTGTTTTTGATCCATTTGTGTCTTGTGAAGTTTATTTCGTAGGCTGTCCCTATTTATTTATTTTTTATTTTTATTTTTTTCAGGGGAGAGCGCGAACGCAGTCCCCTCTACTGCAAATTATGCAGCCCCGTTTCCCAAATGTGGGGACATCGCAGGGGTCAGCACATCCACGGGGCAACGGATAAGCCTCGCTCTGGGAAAACCACCCTCGTGGCCATGGCATCTCCCCTGCCAGGGAAGTAGGACTAGATTGTGACTATTTTTCTAATGAAATAGGATAGAAAACATCTGAGTGCATCACGCTAGTGCAGGTGTTGTTTCCTGGGACTTGTCTCCAGTGTGCGAATGCTGGGATATGATGTCAGACATACTCTTGTTCCTCACGGTGAGGACAGTTTTATCACATCCCTGTAGACCTGCCTCTGACCCCAGGGCACCTCTCTCCAGGCCCCCTTGGCTGCAGACTGTGTGAGTCACTAAGCTCACGGGACCTGACTCTGTTCTCACTGCCTTCCCTACGCCTTAGGATCAAGGACTCAAAGCCCTGGGGAGCCACTCACCTGCAGAAAGTCAAGGTCGGGCTTGCTGGTCGTCTCCTGGATCTGGCTGGTGAGCTTGGACAGCTGGGCGATCTCGCCCCCGAGCTGAGCCAGGTTCTCATTCTGCTTTTGTGTCACCTCCCGGGACAGCTCCTCCAGGCGGCCCAGGAGCCGGCCCTCCTGCTCCACCAGGAAGGCCCGCAGGGCCTGGAACTCTGCCCCCACCTTCTCTCGCTCGGCTGCCATCTGCTTCTGTCTCGGGAGAGAAGTTGCAGAGGTGAGGGACATGGGCATCGAGGCTTGGCATTTGGACAGGCGCGCTGAGCCACCCCAGAGGGCAGGGTTACATCCGCCTCGCTGTTCAGGGGTCAGAGGCTCACCCACACAGGCACACCCTGCACAGCCTGTAATTTAAATACCCCACCACTAAGGGCACAGCAGCTTCAATACACACTCTCGCTTCCCCTGTCACAGATATGCCCATGTGCCTTTGTACCTGGGCTCTCCCTCAAACCTAGGGCGACTCCAAACTCACCTAAGAACTACTAAAGGCTGCCGTTTCCTTGTCTAAAAAGGAAGGATAAATGAGTGCCCCCCGGGCCACTCTCAGTATTAAACTGAGGTCACTCTTTCTTCCCCAAACACATTTATTATGTGTCACATACAAGAACACAGGGCCAGTATGGAGTCGCTATGCTAAGCACCACCTCGCTAAACAGGCTTCATTGTAGTTTCGGCTATCTCAGAAACGGAATCTTTTTTCCTTTTTTTTAATATATTTTATAGATTTTTTACAGAGAGGAAGAGAGATAGAGTTAGAAACATCAATGAGAGAGAAACATCGATTCAGCTGCCTCCTGCACACCCCCTACTGGGGATGTGCCCGCAACCAAGGGTACATGCCCTTGACTGGAATTGAACCTGGAACCCTTCAGTCCACAGGCCGACGCTCTATCCACTGAGCCAAACCGGCCAGGGCAGAAATGGAATCTTAAACTAGCTGATCAGGAATTGCCTTTGTTGATAACCTGTCATCCCTGATTGGGAAAGTAGCCTTGCAATAACCAAACCGGCTTTCTCCCCTGCAGACATTCCTGTCCTTGCCACCTCTGCTTATAAAATCTCTCTCCTAATACAGCTCTTTGGGATTCCCTTCTATATGCTAGATTAGATGCTGCTCAATTCATCAACCACTGAAGAAAGCCAATAAGATCTTTAAAATATACTCAGTTGAATTTTGTTTTTTAACATTCATCACCCCTCCAACTTTCACTCCTCACTTTATTTCATTTTTCTTTTCTTTGCGATTGTCTGAAATGTCTATAACCTTGCTCCGGATGCAGCAGGGCAAGGCCTCAAACCGTTCCAAAATGTTCTAGCAAGCACTATAGGAATGCACAGGGTCACCCCAGACCCAAGCACGCTGGAGGCTTGCAGACTTTATTTCATTTTAAAGTTTTTTTAAAAAATTGACTTTAGAGAGGGAGAAGAAGGGGGAGAGAGAAACATCGATTTGTTGTTCCACTTATTCTGGTTGATTTTTTTTTTTTCTTAAGACATATTTTTAGTGATTTCAGAGAGGAAGTGAGAGGGAGAGAGACAGAAACATCGATGATGAGAGAGAATCATTGATCTGCTGCGTCCTGCACATCCCCCACTGGGAATCCAGCCAGCAACCCAGGCAAGTGCCCTGACCGGGAATCGAACCACGCCCTCCTGGTTCATAGGTTAACGCTCAGCCACTGAGCCTCTCCGGCCAGGCTTAGTTGATTCTTGCATGTGCCCTGCCGGGGATAAACCCACAGCCTTGGTGTATGGGGACAATGCTCCAACCAACTGAGCTACCCAGCCAGGGCCTTCGCTTCACTTTAAAGAGCACCATTTCTGTTTAGCAATTATGAAGGTAACATATGCTCATAATACAAAATCTGCAGGTTGCAGAAAAAGAAGAGGAAGGAAAATCAATGCCAGTGACCAGAGGTGGCAGCACACGGACCTGACCCAAGTGAGAATATGCTGTGTGCAGGCTTCCTATTCTGTTATTTCCGTTACCATGACCCATGGGATGTTTGCTCCTGTGTTTTCAGACACAGGCTCATGCTACGGATCCCCTGGATCCTTTACGCGAATATGTGCGAGGGGCTGCACATGACATAACAAGGACTAGTGAGAGGTGAGGAGGGCTCCATCCCTCCCGGACAAGCTCAACCCCCACAGTCCCTCTGCTTTAAAAGCCCGAACCGAGCCAGCATGGCTCAGTGGTTGAGTGTGGACCTATGAACCGGGAGGTCACGGTTCGATTGGATCCCGGTGTGGGATGTGCAGGAGGCAGCCGATCTATGGTTCTCTCTCATCACTGACGTTTCTATCTCTCTCTCCTTCTCCCTTCCTCTCTGAAATCACTAAGCTTTTTTTAAAAGGCTGGAAGAGGAGCCCGTGAGTGGGTTTTGAATTCAAGAGACCTGGGTTCAGGCCATGGCTTTTCCCTCCCACCCCCTCCGAACCTCACCAGGCCCTTCAGGACACTGGGCATGGGGCTCTTTACAGGTGTAAACTCACTCAACACTGACAACCCAACAATGGGGGTGCACTTTCACCCCACTGTACAAACGAGGAGAGAGACAGAGCAGCACGTCTGTCACCAGTAAGTGGGGAGCCAGGACTCCACCCCAAGGAGTCTGACCCAAGAACCTGCATTTCTTGCAACTATATCATCCGGCCTCCCAAGGAAATAACACAAGTGGGATGATATTAGCCAAAATACTCTAAATCAGGGCTTACCAGCCTCTGCGCTACTGATAATTCTTTGTTGTAGCGGGCTGTCCCGTGCATTGCAGGATGCTTAATCAGCACCCTGGCCTCTACCACTAAATGCCAGTTGCACCCCTGCCCCAGGATTGACAACAAGAAATATCTCCAGCCCTGGCTGGTGTGGCTCAGTGGATAGACCATCGGCCTGTGGACTGAAAGGTCCCAGGTATGATGCCAGTCAAGGGCACATGCCTGGGTTGCAGACTCGATCCCCAGTGGTGGACGTGCAGGAGGCAGCAGGTCAATGATTCTCTCTCATCGTGGAAGTTTCTATCTCCCCCACTCCCTTCCTCTCTGAAATCAATAAAAATATATTTTAAAAAAATATCTTCAGATATTGCCAAATATCCCCTCAGGGCCAAAACTGCCCCCACTGAGAAGCACTCCTAAGTGGTAAGAGCATTTTCAGATAAAAGCATTCATTCTGTTATCATCCAGCATGGTCTATCCTCTGCCTCTACTGCTGCATTAAGCAGGTAGTATTTTGTGATTCTAAAGAATACGGGGCCAGAGGGGTGGTTGGCAGGGGACCCAGGGGCAGGTGCCAAGCGGTGTCATGGTGGGTAGGGCCAGAGACAGGACGCTGCCCACGATGTGGGAGGCCTCTGGGTCGCAGATGGAGGAGCCCATGCTCACTCCTGTCTCCAGAAGAGGGGGGGAGCCTGGAGATGAGGGCTGCGCTCTTCCTTGGGGAGGGAAGTGAGTGATCAGAAGGGAGGGCGGGGGTGCACAGGGAGGCAGGGGCACCAGTGCAGGGGAGGGTCCGGAAGGGCCTGAACTCAGGTCTCCCCCCCACACCACCCCCTCCCCAGCTTGAGGACAGGAGGGCCCTCCAGTTCCCAACTTCAGAACTGCGTGGCCCTCTCCTAACAGATTCCCCATAGATCCTCCCATTCTTTTAACACCGACTTATCGAGCGAAGACCTGAATTTGCGAGGTAGAAAATGACAGTCCGTGACCCACGCTGCTCCCCTCATCAAAAGGAGCCCGTTTCACTTTCCTGCTCCACCGAAAAGAAGACAAAATATAATTCCCGCCCACCAGGGGTCATGGGCACACTGGGCTGTGCAGCGGGAGCTCCTAGGAACTGGTCGCCAGACTTCCCAGACTTCTCAGAGCTCTGACCCAGGCAGCCCCCTTCCACTTAGCCCAACTGCAAAACCTCAGAACTCTAAAAATGAAAAAACAGTCTTTTCATAACTCTTCCGGTGGCAAAAAAAAAAAAATGGCCTAGGCCAGTGGTCGGCAAACCGCAGCTCTCGAGCCACATGCGGCTCTTTGGCCCCTTGAGTGTGGCTCTTCCACAAAATACCACGTGCAGGTGCGCAGGTACAGTGCGACTGAAACTTCTCCCAAGCGCAAAGGCCACGGGATACGCAGCGCGGGGGAGGCGGCCGATTCAGGCAGGAGTTGAGTGAGCCAGTCAGTCAGCAGTCTCGTGCAGTGGTTAGTGCTAGTCGCCTCCGCAAATCGCACACGGGTGACAAAAGTACCTCCTCAAAGCATAACGTTACCTATATTCTTCCAACCAGCTGCAAATCTACAGGTATTTTTGTCATCAATTTAAGAATTGTAATTATTTTGTGTTGGTGGCTTTATTATTATACAATGAGGACGTTTTTAGCAAAGGCCAGCTTAGGAGTACCCTAATTAAGTTAATAACAAGGTACCTACCTATATAGTTTAAGTTTAAAAAATTTGGCTCTGAAAAGAAATCTCAATCGTTGCACTGTTGACATTTGGCTCTGCTGACTGATGAGTTTGCCGACCACTGGCCTAGGCTGACATGAGGCTATTTACTGTATTTATGTTCTCATTGAGTCTGAATATGCATGTTCCTCTGCAGAAACATCAGGGCATTCCATCGGGAGAGAGGCCGAGGCCCTACCTGGG